TATCCAGGAAAAGATTTAAAAGAAATTGAAAATTTTGATGATATATTCAAGGCAGAAGTTTCAAAATTTGCCCAATGGAGGTCGATTTATATCAAATTTTATTCAATAAATCTCGAAGTTGATGGAAGGATATACTATCCTGCTGAACATATTATCACAATTGGATATGTTGGCCGAGATTTTCAGATGGAAGTTGGCCGAAATAATAAACCATTGCCTAAAATCAATAAATCATGGATTAAATCCCTAAGAGTTTTGGGGATGAAAGTTCTTTATAACATTGCAAAGAACTTATATGATAAAAAATTCAGATGCTTGTGCCAATATGAAGGATGAACACTCCTTACAAATAATGGAAAAGAAAAATCTACCATTTTGAAAGAATATATCTAGAAATTTGATACCCATCAAATTAGTGGAAGTCCAACAATAATCCAAAAATCATGTAGATTGAGGGAGTGCCCCACATGCAGACAAGATTAAAAGATTGATTCTTCAAGATAAAAGATGAATGGAGATAAATAAAAGGGGACCTACCACTACCAAAACATCTAGCCAGCTGCATATGGAGCCAAAAATGGAAAGGCAATAATAGAGAAAAAGATACCCCTTTGATGGAAAGGCAAAGAATGCACGTGAAAATGTAGACCCCAGGAGGAAAATAATAGAGAGGCATGTGAGCCTTTTTTTTCAAAATTCTGATGTATGCAATGATGTAATAGATCAATAATAGTGAGTTTGAGTCATGTATAAATAGGGGTCTTTGGAGAAATAATGAATCATCTCGAGTTAGAAATCATTCTCTTTCCTTAAGTTTTTCAAAACCAGTTTTTCTTGAAACCCCTTGTATATAATAGAAATTTTGTATAAATCATTATAGAAATAAAATTTCAATCTTTTGATATCAGAAAAATATGAGTTTCTAAACTTCCTATCCCATAGATTCTTGATAGATTGAAGAAGATGATTTATTTTTTACTTTAACAAAGAGAGAATTTTGTTTATTTAAAATCTTTATTCTTAATTCTAAGAAAAGATACAGTGAGGGCAAGAAGTTGAAATAGCAAAATTCCCATTGAGGCAGGAGGCCGTTTGAGGGAACAGTTTGTAGATTCAGAGCCTGAAGGTCACTTGATTCTAAGAATACAGATTTAAGATCAAAAGTAAGGTAAAATTATTGTATTTGTTAAATTTAGAAAGAATTCTTCTAATAGCTTGAAAGAATCGTAGGGATTATTACTTTTCATGTTTGCAAAAAACTTATCTAACATGTTATTATTATTCATAAAGTTTGCAAGGAATTATCTGAATAATGTCAGGTTATACAATTAAAGGATTAGATAATCTGTTAGAAAAACTATTAATGAAAATAAGAAATATTTTTGCTCAACTAGAGACTATGAATATTTCATCTAAGAAATATGATAATCTTAGTGAATTACATGACAATTATATTACAGATTATGCTAATTTATTAGATCAAAGGATGAAACTATATATTAAAACTCAAAATGAAAGAAATAGAGGAATTTCAGAACTATCCAAATAAATTAAGAATATTTTGTGCAAAATATGACAAATCCTTTCATTAAGGGTATTATAGACATTTTATAAAAAATGAATAGTGGCAGCTAATTTATAAAAATCTCCCCTTCCGATAATTGTTTTTCGTTATAGATTTTCCCAATTTTCTTCTCTCCATCTCTCTAATATATATTTCCCCAATTTGAACAATCAATCAATCGGAGTGAGTAATAATGGCAACTCGGTACTGGGCTGTGTCTCTCCCCGTGGCGCAAGGCTCCTCCGCATCCGCCCTTTGGAATCGCCTCCAGGAATCCATCTCCAAAAATGCATTCGACACACCCCTTTACAGAGTAATATTATATAATTACATGTACCCCTAGTTATGTATTTCCGAGATTTTCTTTTTATGATTTCTATTTTGCTAATTATTGTGATTTTAATGAATTTTGCAGTTTAACATTCCGAATCTTCGGGTGGGCACACTAGATTTGCTATTGGCACTCAGCGATGATCTTTTGAAGGTATGATATTTTGGTTTTTCATTTTTTTGTATTCTGGAATTTCAGCTGATTTTATTACATTTTAGAGTAGCTTGAGAAGGAATTATTTGAAAATTTGAAACTTGATTTTTTTTGGCAGTCGAACAATTTTATTGAAGGGGTGTCTCACAAAATTCGGAGACAGATCGAGGATTTGGAGAGGGTTTCGGGTGTGATGAGTAGCTCTCTCACAGTTGATGGGGTGCCCGTTGACTCATATCTCACTAGGCAAATCTTCACGCTTACATTTTTATGGATTTATTTAAATTTTCAATTTCTTTTGAAGTAATTGAATTTGGTAAAACTTCGTGGCCTTAGATTTGTCTGGGATGAAGCAAAATATCCGACAATGTCTCCACTTAGGGAGATTGTGGATGGCATTCATGTACAAATTGCCAAGATTGAGGATGACCTCAAGGTATATTTATTTCCCGTTTCATTTTATTTATGTTTTTTAAAAATTGAATGTGGATGTTGCATTATGTTTCTGAGTTCTGGAATGCAAATTTGTATAAGCGCTTTCCAAATTGCGACAAATGTGTGACTTAGAGCATGTTTGGGGTGGTTTATTATTAAAAATAAGCGCTAATTTTTGTAAATTATTTAGGTTTATTTCGAATGTAGGTGGGTCCATATTGAAACTAAACCACACATTTGGTGCTTATTTTTAAGTATAAGCCAGCCTGAGCATGTTCTTAAAGTGATTGGTTGGCTCCTTGTTTTGTAATGCTTTGGGGTTCTGATTTAATAGTTGAGCTTGTCTAATAGATGGATCCTGTTTGCTTATATGTAATGTGATTTGGGCTAAGGAGTGTAGAAACTAATTTTTATCAGCTTTTTAACAGAATGATTCTGCATTTTCATGATAAGTACAAGAGACAAGACTCTTTTATCTTTCTTTGGTATTGTACACGAATGTAGTCACCAACGCAATAGCCAACCTAGGTTGATGCAAGCGAATATAATGGGAACAATGAAGCATTTTCTTCCACTAATATCAAGCAGCAGAATATGATCAGTTTCTTTTAAATTCTTCAGCAAACTAACTTGTAAATAATTTTTTCATGCGTGTTCTCATTATCATCAATACTTTACTTTTTTCCAAAGCTTGGCAACCTTGTATTTTTCACTCAATTTCAGCCTTGTTTAATTTGATCTTCTCTTCTTCTAAATTAATGTTGTTCTTCCATCCATACGTGCTGTCCAAGGTAGATGCATGGCTTGTAAATCTCAGTCACTTTTGTTGGAACTCTTTCTTAATATGTTACTAATCAGGCTTGTAAAATTGAAATGTCTCAGGTTCGTATTGCTGAATATAGCAATGTGCGCAGCCAACTAAATGCCATAAACCGGAAGCAAGCTGGAAGGTATGCCTATTTATTTTGTGAGATTATATACTTCATTTTCAGCTTGTTCAGTTTAAGCAAATATATTATGCACTTTTTAAGCGTGCTTCTGTTTTGTGAGATTATTAGTAGGTTGTCTTACAAATATAATTTACATTGTAAATGCTATAACCAATAGATGAAATTTGCCCCATATATCTATATAATTTTATCATAATTCGTTGCTATAATTTCTTATGCAGCCTGGCTGTTCGTGACCTGTCCAATTTGGTAAAGCCGCAGGATATTATTACTTCAGAACATTTGACAACCCTACTTGCTGTTGTGCCAAAGTATTCACAGAAAGATTGGTTATCAAGCTACGAGGGACTCACATCTTATGTAGTAAGAACTCCTTTATCGACAGCATGACGTCACTTCTGCATGTCAGCTCTCAATGCTACTTCAATTTTGCACTGAATGTATTAAAGATGCTTCTATTCCGCATTCTTCCAAGTGATCTAGTGCTGAATAACGAAATTACGTTGTATGCTGTTTTTGTCTGTCCAACGGAGAACTGATTTTCCTTCTATAAATTGTAATTTTTGATTGAACTAATGTTTTAGGTCCCCAGATCCTCCAAGAAGCTACACGAGGACAATGAATATGCTCTATATACTGTAACGTTATTCAATCGCGATGCTGACAATTTTAGAACCAAGGCACGTGAAAGAAATTTCCAAGTGAGTGGGTTATGGAGTATTAATGGTCGTGAGAACTATTGCATCTCCTAATTTTTTTTTGAGAGTATCTTATGTAATTTAATGGAGAAATAGTTTGTCCGTAATTAGCGATGTTGGATGAAGTCCTGATGAAGCATTTGTTGTTTTGAAATATAGATTCGTGATTTTGAATATAATCCAGAAACACAAGAGACCCGGAAGCAGGAGCTTGAAAAACTTACGCAAGACCAGGAAACATTAAAAAGCTCTCTGTTGCAATGGTGCTATACCAGTTATGGAGAGGTACTCTGTGTGTGTGTGTGCGCGCTCTCTATAAAGGTTCAAAAATTTTGTCATCGCATACAATTTTTTAAACCATCTTCACTGCATTTTGAACCTTGGTAGAACTACATTCATTATAACATGATAAAAATGAATGGTGCTCTAGGATTTTAGAAATGTTTCAATGGGTGTTTACCTTTATCTGTAAGGAGATTAAAGTTGTCAAGTTGTTTATGATCTAACAACTGATGGAAGGTTGTTCCTGAGAAATAGTTTATGTATTTTAAAAAATGGTTAAATATCATTCATCTAATGTTTTGCCAACCTTATCTAACTGATATTTTAACATATTGTCTCATATTTGATCTTCAGATATGGCTAAACTTTTAAATAATCAAAGCACTCTCCAATGCTACTTCTCCATCTGCATTTTTGGGTTAAGACCTGTTTGGGCACTAAACTTAAGGGTGTGCCCTATTGCATGCAACCAAACTTAATTCTCTATCAAATTAGCACTGAGCTTCCAAATTTTTCTGCGTTACTCAGTGCTCACTACACAACTCTGTCTTTGAAAAGGAAGACCTTGCACATGGCAATCAGAAATTCTTCGTGGAATAATTTTAGGACATTAAGTGGGAATAGTTTGCCCGTATTGAATAAATTGTTATTGTTAAAATTGAATGTTTTTTGCCAATTTACAACAAAAAACATGTTTTGTAGCCCATTGAACTAAATCAGATTTTGGAGAATAAAATACGTAAAACCAAGTTTCATTTGCACGTGCAAGTTCTAGCCCAATTTAACTTCTGAAATCATTTCACATAGGATTTCCACCACGTGCAAGCTCCGATATTTTTTAGGGTGGTCTTAAGGATAGTGACTAACAAGGAAAGAAATTCGAACCTAGTGCTGACTTCGTAAGAAAATTAAGTTTGAGTGACTAAATCGGTCACACCAATAAGTTCAGTGCCTAAGTAGGTTTTAACCCCTTTTTTAAGAAGTCGATTATGAGAAGACATTTAGAAAGAATAACTCCTCCTAGAGGTACATGGGGCACCAACTCTACTTTTATACCATAAATTGGCTTGACATAATTATGGAATTTGTTATGACTTATGAATATGCAAAAAATAAGTATATCAACTATCACTTGAAATACGGAAATTTCTTTGGGTTTCAGTATGCTTATCTTTAAAATTCACCTCTTGGACCCTTCCGGAAAACTAAAGCAAAACAGATCTCGATACCTTGAATTTCATATTTTTTTATTTAAAAAGTTTATGTTATTTATAATTGCCTTCGAGTATCATCAGTATTCATAACCACCCCTTGATGATGGCTAGAATCTTGGAGAATAGTTTATTTGGCATCCATATTCCTAGGTGTCTGCAATAACCATCTTATTTTGTCTTAGATTAGTTCCATTTAGTTCTGAACTAACATATTCTTCATTTATTTCATATACAATACAGGCTTATGTACTGCTTTCACAATATGAACCACCCTGAATAATAGTATGATTGGTATCTATTGCATTAACTAGTAGTTCATTTTTTCACGTGCGATTTCTGGAATGTCTGTAAATGTTGGGTATTCAATGGAAAATTGGGGTTGCCTGATTGGCCTGCAGGTGTTCAGCTCCTGGATGCACTTCTGTGCAGTACGTGTCTTCACTGAAAGCATTCTGCGATATGGTCTGCCGCCGTTGTTTTTGGTAATTAATATTCCCCTTAATGACTTGTTTTATTTATTTTTTATTTTTAACTGTTATCTTCTGCTGTTACTTAAGCTGTACTGAGAGAGTGACATTTTATTTCAGTCTGTTGTGTTATCACCATCTGTGAAAAGCGAGAAGAAAGTTCGTTCAATTCTTGAGGGACTGTGTGATAATTTAAACAGGTACTATCTTTGATATCTTCTAAGCTTCATTGTTCTTTCATGTACTCTAAGCAGCCTTTTATGATAATAACCCACAACTGTGATATCGTGGGTCAATATTGCGAGTCTAATTCAAATAAGCAGACCCCCTCCAAGGTTGTGAATTTTTCATGATGTGATTTAGAGCACATTTTTAGTGCGAAAAGTCAATGTCTGTTCCACAATAATTAAGGCATCTAGGATAGATTGAAAATAGTACAAATTTAATTTTTGTTGACTGCGTATAATTTATTTTGCAACTGGAATAAAAGAATTTGGGATGTTAACTTCTTGCCATCGTATGAAGGATCGTGACAGAAGCTCTCAAGGAAGGACAGACAAATTTAAAGCTTTTTACATTTCATAAGTTATATTACTGTTAAACGAATTGAGTGTTTGGGATGAGGACTGACCCATTTGGTTCTCTTCTTCTTTAGTCTAATTGTCTTCTTTCTGGTCACATCTTTGATGGTCTTAGGATGCAAACTTTTGATAGAGTGTGTACTGCTGTTAATATATTCTGTGTAACTGCAGCACTTACTGGAAAATTGAGGAAGATGGAGGAGGGATGGGTGGCTTTGCAGGTGATGCAGATTCACATCCTTACGTCTCCTTCACAATAAATCTTGTTTAAGCCAAGGTATGGCATTGTGCTGTTCAATTTCCCATCGGTGTGATCTTAGTGGTCTCCAAAAGAATAAGGACAGATGCGGCTTTTGTATAATAGAGTAAATTATTCAATTTGTTGCATTAAGTACATGCTGCTTCTCAATCCTCCACTGCAAACTTTTGAGCCTGTAGATGTATTTCAATTTGTAGCAGTTTTCGTCATTGTCCATCTACGTTTGGTTTTCCAGTTGTGTTGGAGCCACAGCTTTAATGTATTGTCAGCCGTGAGTTCTTTAATAATACACACTCTTGGCTTCTCTTTACTTGTGGCATCATCTACTTGTGTAGCAAAGAATAATAAGTAGAAAATAAATTGTCCATTATATTGTGCAGTGCTACATACTGAAACTGAACACTCAGAATGGACTTAATTATCTCATTTTGTTGGGTTATTGACATTTAACCCAAACACCACAATAGTCTACATCTCCCACAATGGATTATAGCACAACATGGGGGTTTGTAACCGATGAAGCTGAGATTGTGTCTGTATATTTGTCAACCTGTGATGGCCTTGCTGCGCAAACGTAGTGATGTATTCAATGAATTTTAAACGAGGAATCACTGCAGTGGTTGGTCTATGACGAAGGATAATTTTATCTTCGCCAAGTTAATCTCCAATTTCAAGTCTTTTAAGGCCAATCTTATGAAATAAAAAGGAAAAGAAACTTTTGAATCAAAATATGTTTGGGGCTATATCTAATTGAGTTGTTAAAAGGTTCGCCCCTGGGACTTGTGTCTAAGTTATGACACTGTAGATCATGTATTAAAAAGTTTCGAGTGCAAATTACTAAGCCTTTGTTTGTCATCCAATTTTTTCCATTCTTTTTTCTACTGTATTCATTTTTAACCACACATTCTTTATTAAAATAATATCATATGCAAATCACAATTTTTTTTTTTTTTAACCACACATATTCTATAAATTACTATTTGGTAATACATTTTTTTTCCAAATCAATGGGAGCCTAAATGAAATCTACTCTTTTGGAATAGAGCCAAATGGACCAGAAATGGAACTCTTGCATAAATTCTGCTTTTGTCTAGTTGCAAAAATTGCATTGGAGTATGTGAAAGGGCAACCAAAATCTTTTGTTTTGATCCGTTTTCTTCGAGGTAAATAGTAACAAATCAATTCATGTCGAATTCCATGTCAGTTAACTCGATTAACATGCACACAATGCGGCCCATCTTTTTTTTTTTTTTTTTTTTTTTTTTTTTTTTTTT